TTGAAATGGTTTGAGAAGTTGCCGGAGGGAAGCATCGAAAGGTGGCAGCAGTTGGCGGAAGCATTTGTGACTCGTTTCAAGACTAACACCAAAACGCCAAAAGAGGTGGACAACATTCTCAGTGTCAAAATGGAGTCGAGTGACACACTCAAGGCATACAACTCCAGATACTGAGAAACCTTCAACGAGATTTTAGATTGCCCAATCAACATGGCAATCACCCAATATAAGTGCGGTCTCCCGGTCGGACATAGGCTGCAGGACTCGCTTACCATGAACCAGCCGACATCCATGGGCCAACTAATGCAGCGTATCAATGAGCACATCCGAGTCGAAGACGATAAAGCCGCAGCTACCGTGACGACAAGTCTGGTAGTAGAGAATAAGAGAGTAGTGCGAAAGATTCACGCAGTCGGACAAGATGATGGCCATGCAAACCACCATGGAAGAGATATAAGGAGTTCGATTTTTGGAAGACGTCTATAAGAAGACCGAGGAAAATGGGCATAAAACTCGCAGAATGTAAATGGCCGATCCATTTTCAGAACATCAAACTCTGCCAATCTAAAGTTTTGTTCTTAGTTCTATTTTTGTAACCCTTTTTGCCATTGGCACAATGAAACAAGTAGACCATTTTCTTGAGAATTGTTGTATTTTTGCCTCGCTAAGCGGATTTAGTGCGGTCCAAGGGGTAACTAACAATCATTTTGACGGAAAGATCAAAATTCCTTACAAGGCGGATTTTGCTCGGCAAGAGATTTGTTGATGGTTTTGATCAACTTTAGAATTCCTTGCCGGTCAAATTTTGCTCGGCAAGAGGTTTGTTGATGATTTTATCAACTCTAGAATTCCTTGTCGGATAAATTTTACTCGGCAAGAGGTTTGTTGATGGTTTTAATCAACTTTAGAATTCCTTGCCGAGCTGATCTTGCTCGCACAGAAGCAAGTCGCGGAGCGGACCTAGCTCGCCTTTGAGTTCCTTGCCGAGCTGACCTTGCTCGCTAAGAAGGGAGTTGCGGAGGGAACCTTGCTCGCCGATCTTGGAGTTCCTTGCTGAGCTGATCTTGCTCGCCAAGAAGAAAGTCATGGAGCGGACCTTACTCGTTGACCTTGGAGTTCCGAGCTGATCTTGCTCGCCAAGAGACAAGTCGCAGAGCGGACCTTTCTCGCCTACCTTGGAGTTCCTTGCCGAGCTGATCTTGCTCGCCAAGAAGCAAGTCGCGGAGCGGACCTTGCTCCCGCTCTTGGAGTTCCTTGCCGAGCTGATCTTGTTCGCCAAGAAGCAAGTCACGGAGCGGACCTAGCTCGCCTTGGAGTTCCTTGCCGAGCAGACCTTGCTCGCCAAGAAGGAAGTCGCCGAACGGACCTTGCTCGCCGACCTTGGAGTTCCTTGCCGAGCTGATCTTGCTCGCCAAGAAAAAAGTCGCGGAGCGGACCTTGCTCCCGTTCTTGGAGTTCCTTGCCGAGCTGATCTTGCTGGCCAAGAAGCAAGTCGCGGAGCGGACCTAGCTCGGCTTGGAGTTCCTTGCCGAGCTGACCTTGCTCGCCGAGAAGGGAGTCGCGCGAGCGGACCTTGCTCGCCGACCTTGGAGTTCCTTGCTGAACTGATCTTGCTCGCCAAGAAGCAAATCGCGGAGCGAACCTAACTCGCCTTGAAGTTCCTTGCCGAACTGACCTTGCTCGCCAAGAAGGGAGTCGTGGAGGGACCTTGCTCGCCGACCTTGGAGTTCCTTGCTGAGCTGATCTTGCTCGCCAAAAAGGAAGTCGCGGAGCGGACCTTGATCGCCGACCTTGGAGTTCCTTGCCGAGCTGATCTTGCTCGCCAAGAGACAAGTCGCGGAGCGGACCTTGCTCGCCGACCTTGGAGTTCCTTGCTGAACTGATCTTGCTCGCCAAGAAGCAAATCGCGGAGCGAACCTAACTCGCCTTGAAGTTCCTTGCCGAACTGACCTTGCTCGCCAAGAAGCAAGTCGCGGAGCAGACCTAGCTCGCCTTGGAGTTCCTTGCCGAGCTGACCTTACTCGCTAAGAAGAAAGTCGCCGAGCTGACCTTGCTCGCTGACCTTGGAGTTCCTTGTCGAGCTGATCTTGCTCACCTAGAGACAAGTCACGGAGCGGACCTTGCTTGCCTACTTTGGAGTTCCTTGCCAAGCTAATCTTGCTCGCCAAGAGACAAGTCGCGGAGCGGACCTTGCTTGCCTTCTTTGGAGTTCCTTGCTGAGCTGATCTTGCTCGCCAAGAAGCAAGTCACGGAGCGGACCTAGCTCGCCTTGGAGTTCCTTGTCGAGCTGACCTTGCTCGTCGAGAAGGAAGTCGCGGAACGGACCTTGCTCGCTGACCTTGGAGTTCCTTGCCGAGCTGATCTTGCTCGCCTAGAAGGAAGTCGCGGAGTGAACCTTGCTCGCTGACCTTAGAGTTACTTGTCGAGCTGACCTTGCTCGCCAAGAAGAAAGTCACCGAGCTGACCTTGCTCGCCGACCTTGAAGTTCCTTGTCGAGCTGATCTTGCTCGCCAAAAGACAAGTCGCGGAGTGGACCTTGCTCGCCTACCTTAGAGTTCCTTGCCGAGCTGATCTTGCTCGCCAAGAAGCAAGTCGCAGAGTGGACCTAGCTCCTGTTCTTGGAGTTCCTTGCCGAGCTGATCTTGCTCGCTAAGAGACAAGTCGCGGAGCGGACCTTGCTCGCTTACTTTGGAATTCCTTGCCGAGCTGACCTTGCTCGCCAAGAAAGGAGTCGCGGAGCGGACCTTGCTCGCTGACCTTTGAGTTCCTTGCCGAGCTGATCTTGCTCGCCAAGAAGAAAGTTGTGGAGCGGACCTTGTTCGCTTTCTTTGGATTCCTTGCCGAGCTGATCTTCCTTGCCAAGAAGGAAGTCGCGAAGCGGACCTTGCTTGTCTTCTTTGGAGTTCCTTGCTGAGCTGATCTTACTGGCCAAAAAGCAAGTCGCGGAGCGGACCTTGCTCGCCTTGAAGTTCCTAAACCGAGCAAAAAGTATAGCCTGGCCTTGTAATGTAATCCCAGTCATGCTAGCGTAGACGGAATTAAGCGGCAATTGATAGGGGGATTTTCGTAATCTCGGCTTGGGCCGCGGTTCTGGCCAGCCTGAATGTGGTCCAAGTGTATTTGGGCCGAGCTGGGTTGGGCCGAGTCGAGGTGAAGCTTGCTTGGCCAAAGTCTAGACCAGAGTTGGCTAAGATGATCCCCTACTAGCTTGTCTTCTCTTGTTCGCTTGTGTTTAGCTCGGTGATCGTGATCTGCCGCAGATCGGCTTAGCTTGTCTGGAGCACAGTCGCACCGGAGTGCTACTGAGCTCGGTTGTGATGGAGCTTAGCGAATGGCACTGTTGAGCTCGATAAGTAGCTCGGTCGAAGGAGGCCGAGATGATTGTTTGCCGATCCGGTCTTATGGTCGCGCATGTAGCTCGGCGGGAAGATCTCCCTTGGACTAGCCTAACCTGTCTGGAGCTCGGCCGTACTGGGGTGCTACGGAACTCGGTTGTGATGGAGCTCAGCGAATGGCATTGTTAGGCTCGATAAATAGCTCGGTCGAAGGAGGCCGAGATAATTACGCCGGACTACCCATTCCCGTCGATGTCAATTAGTGGTTTGATTAGGTGATGTTTGGCTGAATTTATGCTGACAGATGGGAGAGCAGCTCCACGTGTCATTGAACGAATGGATGCAAAGGTGAGCGCAGAAAAGTGTATAAGCATGACTGCACCCCCCATGCTAGGGATGGAACGACATTCGGTGAGAAATACTCTTTGTGAAACACCTCTCTTCCCCCTCTCTCTCTCTCTTTCTCTGAGTGTGTGCTAACTTGACCATCGGGGGTATTCCGGCAACGCACCGCCGGGTAGCTCACCGTTGTTGTACTCGCAGGTTGATCAAACAGACGAGTAGCTTGGACGAAAGGAGTACGGGCTCTGCAGAATATTTGCTCCCCGCACACTATCAATATAAACATTAATACTCATTTCACCCTATTATTATTACAGAAATTTTGATAACCACATCATGCCACATAAGATTTTTCTTTTATTTTTTATTTATTTAGTTTTTTGAATAACTCCTCTAAGAAAATAATTTAAACTAGTAAATAGAACATAAATGAGTAAAGAATAATTTATAAATAAATGTCCCATAAAAATAAATTTTGAGCTTATAACAAAATAAATTCTATTACCAATTCAAATCTTAATTTTTTTAATTTGTTTTTAATTTAAACCATCTGTTTAATTTCAATAAACAAAACTAACAAAAAAATATATTTTAGTTATTAAATACAATGAAAATTTATATTTTTGACATTTCCACACACCTTTTGCACAAGGTTTTTTTTTTATTTTTTTTTTCAAATCTCTTTCCAAATCAATAATTCAAACACAATATTATATTAAATTACACCCACTTTTCCGTCTCACATTTTTAACATAATTACACTAACATTCTTTAAGGTTTTAGTTTACATAACATTTAAGTTTTTTTTTCATGCATAATTCATTAAATAATATTGTCATATCTTATTTATTAAAAATGAATATTTATTTTTATTTATTTCAATATTTATCCACCAGCTATATTAATTTCAGCCAATATAATCGGACTAAATGGAAAATCAGGTAATTATATAAAAAAGTATGAAACTAATTATATTTTTTCTAAATCTTATGTGAAGGGGTGTAATTTACCCTTCATCTGTCTGATTATTCAGTTTTAAAAATAAAATATTAAAATTTGAATTTATTATTTTTATTTTTAATAAAATTGTGAAACATTTCTTGGTGAAACTTTTTTATTTTCATTTTTTTTGTGTTCATTGAATCTTTGAAACATTTCTTCACAAATATTTTAACATCTAAAAAAGAAATAAAAATTAACCAAATTATTTAAAAAATTCACTAAAAATTAAAAAAAAAATTAAAAATTAGATAAACAAAGAAGATTTAAGAAAACGGCGTCGTGCCTTAGCGAGTAATTGCCTAAAAGACGTCTTCGTTTTAGCACTATACCAGAAAATCCCAATCTGCAATTCAGAGAGAGAGAGAGAGAGACAGAGATGGAGGCGTGTTGGGTAACGTTCACGACAGCATCATCAGCACCTTCAAGACCCAGAAGCTTCATCAACCATGGAAGTTCCTTCCTTTTTAAACACTTTCATGCTAACCACCACCAATTGGTTCCAACATCAACCAGTTATGATGCTATTATTAGTCAGAGTAGTAGTAGTAGAAGAAGAACAAGACCCTTCTCCATTAAAGCATCCAACAAGAACTTCTCTACCACTCGACGCACAGTTTCCAGCAATTGGGATGTCTCCAACTATGCTGCACCCGCTTGGCTACCCAGATTCGAAGACCTCGATACCACCAATATGCTTCTTCGCCAGAGAATTATCTTCTTGGGTTCTCAGGTTTCAATACTCTCTCTTGTTCTTTATATATGGAATTGGTACTTTTTATCTCTACAAAATCAGGGGTTTTGAGATGGGTTTTGCTAATTGTGCTCTATTGACTCCATCTTCGAAGCCCCCTTTTTCACTTGATAGCTAGCTGGGTTTTCTGACCTAAACATTTGATTTTCTTTCTCGATTGTTTTCACTTCAGTGCATTTCGTGGCTGAAAGATTTGGGAAATGGGTTTTGCTAGCTATTATCTTATATGGGGTTTGCTAATTGTACTTTATTAGCTCCATCTTTGTACCCCTCTCTCACTAGATAGACTTAAAAAACTAATCTTTATTTTTTATAAATTTGATTGATCTGTGTTAAAAAAACTTGGATTCTTTATGCTGAATGGGCATATTTCATCCATAATCTTGGTTTAAATTTCAGTATTTCAGGGGATGATTATAGCTTGTTCCCAACCTCCTCCTTATTTACTTTACTTGTTTTCAAACCTTTGAAATTTGTGTTGTTGCTGTTGATTTATGGAAATCACTTGGTTATGGGCAGGTAGACGATATTTCAGCAGATTTCATCATAAGTCAACTTTTGTTTCTGGATGCTGAAGACCCGAAGAAAGACATTAAATTGTTCATAAATTCACCTGGTGGCTCGGTTACTGCTGGTATGATTTATTTGGGTGCTTGTCTAACTAAAACATTTGATCAATTGATCATCATAGCAATAAGAAGAGCCATTTGATATGTGAAAACAATCCTAAGATTTTGGATTGTATCAATAACTAACTGCATTGCTAGAATCTTGAAGTCATAAATTGCTTGAAAAGATTTGAAAATCCTTTGGAAAAATACTATATATCTGCATATTTGGGGTTTGCAGACTTAATATGTAATGTAACAATAAACTTGCGGCAAACTTCTTAGTGTATGCCATCATCTGCGTCATCATCATTGGTTAGTAGGGATGGCAATTTGAACCTGGCCCGACGGAGATCCGACCCCCCCGACCCCGAGTAGAGCGATTTTTTCCCAAAAATATTCCCCACAGGCCGGGGATGGTATTCAAAAATAAATCCCCGTTGACTTTCGGGCCGAGGACGGCGATATGTTTTCCAGCCCCGGCCCGTCCCCAGCCCCGACCCCGTCCTCGTTAAACCCCCGAAATAAACATACTATATATATCCCTAAAAAATGTATGCCCTCTGTCTCTCAGACTCTCACTCTCTCTCTTTATGCCCTCTGTATGCCCTATGCCCTCTGGTTAAAAAAAAAGACTCACTCTCTCTCACTCTCACTCTCTCTCTTCCCTGTACTCTCTCTCACTTCGCACCTCTCCTTTGCTTCCCTCTAATATGTTTTCCAGCCCCAGCCCCGGCCCGTCCCCAGCCCCGACCTCGTCCTCGTTAAACCCCCGAAATAAACATACTATATATATCCCTCAAAAATGTATGCCCTCTGTTTCTCAGACTCTCACTCTCTCTCTTTATGCCCTTTGTATGCCCTATGCCCTGTGGTTCAAAAAAAAGACTCTCACTCTCTCTCTTCCCTGTACTCTCTCTCACTTCGCACCTCTCCTTTGCTTCCCTCTACTCTCTCACTCTCGCACATCTCCTTCTTCTCAGTGCTACCGCCACTGTCCGCGATGTCGTTCTTCGTCTTCGTCCTCCGTCGTTTGTCGCCGTCGTCTGTGCCAATTTCCATTGTCCTCTCTGTGTGTATATGTATACATGTGTATGTGTGTGTCTCTCTTTGTGGATGTATATATGTATGTATGTGTGTGTGTGTCTCTCTGTGTATGATTTTGATGTTGAAAGAAGTTGATGATGTTGTTGAACACTGAACAAATTTGGATTGGGAAACTTTTGAGGTCGAGGAAACCCGATCCCCGCTGGGGACGAGGACGGGGACATGGACGGTGATAGGTTCCCCGTCGGGGATCGGGGCCGGGGCAGGGGAAATTTTCACTATCGGGGATCGGGGACAGGGAGGGTGATCCCCGGCCCGGCCCGGCCCCGCCGCCCGTTGCCATTCCTATTTGTTAGTTTTTAATCACTTCATAAATCCTTCAACTCCTCCCTAATGAACTAAACTCAAAATGTGTTGGAATAAAAGTCCACCTCACATAAAGGTCAAAATATGGCATCTTCTACTCCTCCATTGGATTCTAAGTGCATTTACCTATATGTTTGTATCTCTATTCAATGAGGCACTTTTCAGCAATGCCTTCCAAAAAACAAAAAAAAAAAACTGCCAGTTTGTGCTGAAAATGAAATTAATTTTTAGTTTGTATTTTTTGGTTGAACCTTCTGCTGAATATCTTTATATCAATCCGCTATTAGAGGGACTCATAATATATTATTCTTGGGCAAGAATGTATCTAAAGCCTTCAACCCTTATGCAAACACAAATGCATTGACACATACTGAACGGTGAAGACTATTTAATTACTCATAAATTTCCTAATTTCAACTTTCGAGTATGTTTTTGAAGTTGAATATGTTACTTGAACATACAATTGTTATGTTTTATTTACATCAAAGGGTGCAATATGTATGAAGGCTCGACCTCAGAGGAGTTCACAAATGGTTTAGTAATGGTTTTTTTAACATGAGATTGGGTTGAATGGTTTAAAGATCATTACATGGGATATTAAATGTTGGAGGCAACCCTTGCACAAAGTACGATAGTCAAAATTTTGAGAGTCTAATCGAGTTTGGAGTAATCATTGCGTGGGGTTCAAAAAAAAATTTAAAGGTAGCCCATATATAAAAGTAGACTTCCCAAATTTTTGGACCCCCCCTTCCCTCTGCCCCTGCACATAGGATATCCATATACAGATATTTATGCTTTGAGATTTGATCATATTGTATTAAATTTTCTTCTCGGGTTTGGTGTTCATAGATATCACCTGCATGGGTCTTGTGAACTTTGTGAGACATTTTTGCTCCAGTGAAGCTACTAATATTCTGTATCTAGGGTTTACTATTGCATTAGTATTGTTATTATTGCATTACATCTTTGTCGAATCTTCAAAGATGGAGTTCTCTATCAATGAAGAGCTCTTGGCCTTCTTTTAATAATGTTCTTCATTCAAGTTACTACTGCACCCAGGGATGGGAATCTATGATGCTATGAAGTTGTGCAAAGCTGATGTTTCTACCATTTGCCTGGGGCTTGCTGCTTCTATGGGAGCATTTCTCCTTGCTTCTGGTACTAAAGGGAAGAGGTATTGCATGCCTAATGCAAGGGTTATGATTCATCAGCCACTTGGAACTGCCGGGGGAAAAGTAAGTTCTTGGTTTCTGCTTGTTATCATGGATATTGACCTTTGTTCTAAGAAAGTCATTTTGTGTGTTTTCATAATCATGTTATTTATAGCTCTTTGGAATATGAATTGTTGTTTTGTGCAAGTGATTGTGCAAGTGACGACTCATACCAGTTAAGTTGAGTGACAAAAACACCACCATTTTCCAACCTTTTTTCCTGGTACTGAAAGTTGATTTGTATATGATTGCATCTTTTGTTTTCTTTCTCAGCTACTTTTTGACCTGGGCAGGAATCCTTATCCTGCCATCTTTCCCTTATGGCTCTTTCTCTCTCTATTAAGTGTGTTCTCCTCTGAAACGATTTTGCAGCTGTGAAATGACACCATTGATAAAAGAAATTTTTAGTATGTTCTACTGTGTATGCTGTGATCTTGTTGAGTAATCAAGTTTGCGTTGCTTTCTATGCTTATTCTCTAAAAGTGATTTTGCTGTTGTTTATTTTTAGAAGTTGCTTTTAAGCAAATATTGAATAGTTGGAAATTTGTGGAGAACTGACTCTAATATCATCTTTCACAACCATAACAAGGTGATAACCACAAGGTTGTGTACGTATAGAGACAACTGCATTGGTTTCCATGCCCTTGCTTCGTGGTCTAAAAGAGAAGTTAGAAACAGTTTCACTTGATTATTTAAGGAGAAGTTACCTTTGACATGAAGCTATTGGACAAACTAGTGATGATTTAAGATGATATAGTTTTTATGTTTGATTCTAATTCCCTCTTAACCAACTAGGGTTAGCCTAGTGGCTAGACGCTAGAACTTATGTACACCACTAGGAGATCACAGGTTTGATTCCCCTTTCCCCGCCAATGTACCCCCCCCAAAAAAAATTTATACTTACCTCTGGAGAAGGGTTTTCAAAATTACTAGACCAGATGATGGCAGCCTTGTCACATACACTTTATTATTATTATTATTATTATTATAGGATAAGGTCAGGTTTGACTTGGATGCCTTGATGATATTTTACAAATATATTTCTTATTGTTAGGAGCTATGAAGCATGGACACCTCTCCGGAGGTCGCGTACAGGTGTTTGACACGTGTCGGACATGCTCCGAACACATGTCGGACACGCTGGAAAGAGTTAGACACGCTAGGATACTTTGCACACGCTGAGGACATGCAAGGGACATGCTAGGAACATACTGAGAACACACTGGGGATACTCTAAGGACACGCTGAGTACAACTTTTTTTCAAAAAAAAAATTATAATTTTTAATTTTTAATTTTTTATTAAAATAGCATACCTAATGTTGATAAATTTGATAAAATTAAATATTTGACATAAAATACGTATTAAATATTTAAAAATATATGTTTTGAACGTGTCTCCAACATGTCATGTTCTACATATTTTGAAAATTTACATGTCCGCATGTCCGTGTCATGTCCATATCCGTGTCCGTGCTTCTTAGGTGTTTTGGCTTTAGGTTTGGGCCACTTCTCCATGTGGCTATGGGTAAATATTTTTTGCATAAATGATAGTGATCTTCTCACCTGAAACTCATAATCTCTCACCAAACTGTGACATGTACTTCCAGGCAACAGAGATGAGCATACGAATAAGAGAAATGGTGTACCACAAAGTTAAGCTGAACAAAATACTATCAAGAGTTACAGGGAAGCCAGAGCAGCAGGTTGGTTCTTTTTATTGTCCAAGCTAATTATTCATGTACCTTATCTTGAATTACCTATTATGTTTACTTATCTTCTTCTGTGATTGTAGATTGAAATCGACACTGATCGTGATAATTTCATGAATCCTTGGGAGGCAAAAGAATACGGGTTGATTGATGCAGTTATTGATGATGGTAAGCCAGGATTAATTGCACCTACAGCAGATGCAACACCTCCACCCAAAACCAAGGTTTGGGATCTTTGGAAAATCGAAGGGAGCCGGAAAGCGAAAAAGAATTTGCCCTCGGAGGAAAAGATTTTACAAAATGGATACAAAAGCAGTCCAGGAAGTGATGAGGAGAGAGGCTCGGAGCAAGAAAAGGAAGCACCTGCTCCAGTATGAGGTAAGGCATGGAACAGTCAATGCCTCAAACACAATGTAAGATTTATCACGCGTTGCAAAGAGCTTTGCGGAGTTTGTTTAATCAGTTGATACAAAGAAATGTGAATTTCGAAAATGGTTGGTTGGTCCATGTTTACACTCAGAGAATGTGTTCAACACTTGGATTTGTCTCAAATAGGGTGTAATAATTTTGCATGAACATATGAAGGTTTTATATTCCATGTATAATTTTTGCATAAATTTGATGAGTGTTGTGACCATGCATATTCTTCAATGGGAAATGCTATGCTAGGTGGAATAAGATTGAATTGAATAGTTCTAAGAAAATTTATGAAAATTCTTAAAAATAATAATATATAGTATTAGCAGACTTTATTGATAAATTAAAATACTTTTAAAACTTACTAGAACAATTATATAGTATTGTGGAAAAAATAAAGTGTTTGTTATAATTTTCTAAATATGATTTGAGAATAGAGTTGTATCTTGAATTTGTGAGTTAATTATGAAATTATGATTTAAGTGTGAAAAATTTGTTTGGTGAATGAATTTTGAATTGAGTGAAATTTTTTTATGTGACATATAATATCTGATACAAAAATTTATAACTCATAACAAAACACATAATTTAAAAATCTATTAAAAGCTCATAAATTTTTTTTAAAAATTCTGAAAATATTACTTTATTAAAACAAAATAAAAAAATAAAAAAACAAGTGTCAATTGAGAAAAAAATAATAATAATTTGCCATGTTCCGGTGGACCGACCGGTTAAGCTAAATTTTTTTTTAAAAAAAAAATCTCGCCTAACACAGTTTTTATAAAGTTTTTTTTTTGTTGTGAAAATATAATTTGAAAGATTATCCAAACATGATATTAGAATGTACGGGTGTAATTATAATTTGAAAATCCATCGTGCTACCCATCTGCAAAATGCGCTCCTAACAACAAAATTCGGCATATAGCACCTTCCCAAAAGTTTATACACAAAATTCGCTCCAGAAGCACAGTTTCGATCTCAACTCTTGGAATTGACAAACAAAACTTTGTTCGGTCATAGGCAATGACAAGGTGCTCAATCAAAGTGACTAGCATGACTTACATTCTTCAAATAGAGTTTACGGAGTTGCCATCACTTTCGCTGTCACTGCTGCTAGTCCCACTCCCAGTCCCGCTTCCACTGCTACTTCCGCTCCCACTTCCACTACTTTCACTACCACTGCTACCACTAGAGCTTGAAGTTTGCTCTGCTCTTTCCTCTGCGTTCACCTGTGCTCTAAGGGCCTCCGCAGCATTTGGGCCCTTATCCTCATCGTCACTGACATCGACATCAGCAATTTCATCATCTGTGTCATTTTGATGTGGCACATTAATGTCAATACCAGTGTGGAATTCTTTTTCAGTAGCATTCCCTCCTCCGTTGCTTGCTCCGCCAGCATCTTCATCGTCATTTTCTATATCTAACTGTTCCTCCAAGTCATCATTCTTAAGGTCCGGCAATGCAGTTGATGGAATTGGTTGGGCAGATGAATTATCAATAACCTTCTCACTTTTAGGTTTTGTATCAGCGGCAGAGACAGAAAAAGTAAATGTTTCAGAGACATAACTGAAAAACCCACACCAATTCATATCAATGGTCACTCAAACGCACCCTGAATAACTCTTTTCACTAAAACCGGACAAGGCTGTGAATCCAGCAAGTAGTAAAATATTCAAGGCATATAAGATGTGATTGTAACCTCTTTTGCTTACTACAGAAGTTGATCGAATTGAATTTCTAGAAATATCATAAACATGGGGATATATTTTTGCTACTGTAAACTCTTGTTATCAATCAGAAGTCACCAAAGCTCAATTGGTTTTAAAAACACACAACAATAGCACCATGGAAGATGGGACACATTGCAGTAAATTGCAGGGTGCGAAAAAGATTTAACTTTGAAGAGTCGAAGTTCAAAAAAACATAAGCCCAATTGAGTAGTGAAACTGGCAAATGTGTATTCCTAGGGTCAAAAAAACAGAAGTCTCCTTCAGTTCAGTAATGCATGCCCAACAGAACACATTTGATATGCACTCAAGCCAGAAGTTTAGGGCTTGTATAATCATAGACTGGTCAGAACTAGCCCGTGAATTAGGAAATTAATAGTAATTCATCTTTGGCTGTCCTTTTCTATCTAATTATGCTTCATGAATGTCTACTTATAGTTGACTATAAGACAATTTCTAAAACACTACTTGCTTTATTGAACAATAACACACACAAAAGCGAAGTCAAAGTAGTCAGCTGGGTAACTAATTTTGGCATTGCAGAACATACCTCCTAAACCCTTGAAGTCACCAATTTCAATCCGTTCAATCTCAACCTGTACAATTACACAACAAAAGAAATTTACATCATTAGTATAATTTTACAAATTTAACAATAAGACTTCATTTATAAGTACGACATTATAATTACAAATACAGGGGCTGTTGCTTGGTCCAGTGGTCAAATCATTGGATGTCAATTGTGAGAATGTGAGTTCGAGTATGAGGGCACCCCCTTTGCATCTTGTGCCAGAGGTCAAGTTTGCATCCAGTCTGCCCCTAGTAGCACTTGCTTACCAGGGACCAATATTGACCTTTAACATTATATATTACAAATACAATGCATTCATTTATTGCCTTACTTTCTTGGTTTACTTTTCAAAAAAATTGTCTTGTTCTTCTAAGAAAAAAGAGAATCACGAAGTACTTTAGTTTTTTCAAAACTTACCTATATTATAAACAAATAAAATATCAAGAGAATACCCACACTATGCAACCACCCAAACAAGAAGAAGACATCAATTCGAAGGAAGATGAATTCAACCCTTCATGACCCATCATTTTTAATGGGCAAATATAAATTCTAAGACATGCCATGCAATATCTGGAGAGGTGAACGTTTTTAATTGAGTGGCAGCTGTCAACCATACAGTGTGCAGTAAGCAAAGAAGAATCTTACTCTCTGTTTGGTTGTCTTTTCAAATCATGATTCCAACCTCACATTTCAATGCTCTATTTGCTTGCAATTTTCAAAACATGATTCCAAGCCCACATTTGAAAACTTGGTAAACCAAAGTTTTTGAATTTTGAACAACCAAAAAGAGTCTACCCGGTCATTCGCTTTCTCCCGGATAGTTTTTGAATTTTTGAGTCTACCTAGTCGTCTATCCGGACATCCTTCCGGACGTCCAGATGGTTGACCAGAACGTTGCTTCTTTTTTTTTCCTTTGCAATTGCCATATGTTATTTGAAGGAAAAAAAATTGTATTAATTTTTGATATTTTTTAAATATAGAAAAAAAAAAACCAAAATGACAAATTATTTGGCCATTTATTTAAGATTAACAACAAAATAATTTAAATAAAAATTAATTTGTCACAATAATTTTTAAAAAATAAAAAAACATTTTTAAACAAAACAATTCAAAAAAAATTCAATCAAATATACAATCAAAAGTAATTTAAAGCACTAGTCGAATTTTTTTTAACAAAAAATAATATATATTTTTCAATATTTTAAGGAAAATTTACCCATAAGTCCTAGTTTCTGAAAAGTTGAACCATCTAGTCCTAAAAGTTTTCTTATGCTCCATTTAGTCTCATTTGCACATCAATCTAATGTTTGAAACATTAATCTGATGTTCGAAATCTAATGTTCGAAACATTAATCTGATGTTCGAAATCTAATGTTCGAAACATTAATATGATGTTTGAAACATTGTAATAGGACCTTTCAGTCTATAAGAAAACTTTTAGGACTAAACAGTGTATAAGTTATTAATTTAGGATTTATTGGTGCATCCCCCATATTTTAAATAAAAAATATTTTCAGATTTTTTTGAATTTTTTAAATAAAAATTTTATTTTTTCAATAATTTTATTTTTTTAATTGAATTTTAAAAAGAGTTTGATTATGAGCTTTGAATAGAATTTTTAATAAAGTTTTGAGTCGTGTGTTTGGTTGTAAATTATAAATTTTTGAATTAAGTTTTAAAAATTCTTTTTAAAACTCATAACTAAACAACGGTTCTTATATCAAAACTCCTTTTAAAAATTTAAAACTCAATTCAAAATTCAATTCAAATTCTTTTCAAAATTTATAACCAAATAAATTTTCTCTTTTCAAATCATGATTTAACAACTCACAAACTCAAAATACAATTCCATTCTCAAATAATAATTATAAAATTAAACCAAATGCTACCTTAAATTTTCAGGGACACGAATCCATTTCCAACCCTATATGAAACATCAACTCTTTAGTGGGTAACACATAAAACCCAATCTGGAAGGAGGAAGAGTGCACCATACCACAAACCGATCTAACCCAAGCCACTCCAAATGCTACTCAACCCATTAGTAAAGTTCTTGAACTGAACAGAGCCTTGACCAAATGCGAGTTTCTAATTCCGAAGCTAGTCAGTTTGGGTTGAAAGAGCTGCCACTTGGGTACACCAAATGTTACAGCAGTAATACATGTTTAATAATTAATAGACTAATGGTTTCAGGACCCAAAAAAAAAAAAACCCTCCAACATGAACATCATTGCCTGGCAAATAGAGAAGGTAAAACCATTACTTACTATTCCTCCATCGTCTACCTCCTAATCCAAGACATGCTAACTTATGGCTATATTATCCAACCCTGAACTGTAAAAGAAATTAAATGAAATGAAGCAACAAGATGAGTGTGTCTCATTTGCTTCAAAAAGAGATTGGGACAATGTAAAAATTATGTATGTGAGTCACATGTCATCCAAAGTCTTGCTCGTAACTTCGCCGAAAATAATTAGATAGAAGGGTTCAAAGAAATTTGCTGTAAAAAGTCTATCTAAGAAGCAGTATTAGTGTAATTCAGAATACTTATTAGAATGATGTGCGGAATAACCTCAGTTTAAGTACAACACCAACAAAGCTGCTGATTTTTAACACTACACAATTAGATTCCTTCAGATGGTCATCACAAAACAGTACCTGAAAGTAGCATATCTTAGAAAATTTAAGCATGCAACTTCTCTGTACTCTGCTAACTTATTTTTTTTTTTAATTTAAATTTTATCCATGGGAAATAAGTTTCAATATTGGGTGTATCTCTATTGAAAGAAGCTTTAATTCATGCTTATGTTAATTATTGGTCTTGCCCCTATCTTGAAAGGTCATTCACTTCATGCCCCTCATTAGTAATTAATTTCATTGTAGCTAATTGTCCACCCTTTCCAAGCATAACTGCTATATTATGTATGGCCATGCCTAGGGCCATGTTGGTCACTAGTACCATAATGCAAAGCAAGGAGCTGTTAGCTTGAGTTGACCTTGGTGTGTTTGATTAGACGGACTGGATAAGGACTACTGTGAGCTTCGGTTGTAACACGTTTCTTCAAATCATAACAATCTGGCACACAAAGACGGTTCTGAAATTTTCTCAAACACAAATCCAGGCCTCGGCTTTGAATCAAGTTCCTCCGTAATCTTTTTCAAGTATTTATCCTCGCACTGTTTCTGTTTGATCTCGTCAAGAATTGTAGGTTGAGCGGCAATAGCAGTAAATAGCCCTTCTTGCACTAGGTCAGTCAACAATTCTTTTCGGTTAGATAGCAAACATGACAAATTCGCACTGGATTTTCGGCTCAAGGCATCTGCTACGGTATTAGCTTTTCCTGGATGATACAAGATTTGCAAGTCATAATCCTTGATTAAGTCTAACCATCGTCTCTGTCTCATGTTCAATTCCTTTTGGGTGAAGAAATATTTCAAACTTTTATGGTCGGTATACACCTCACAAGTTACCCCATACAAATAGTGACGCCATATTTTCAAAGCAAACACCACAGCCGCTAATTCAAGATCATGTGTTGGGTAATTCTTTTCATGTGGTCGAAGTTGTCTAGAAGCATAGGCAATCACCCTTCCGTTTTGCATTAGTACACACCCCAAGCCTTTATAGGAAGCATCACTGTACACTTGAAACCCATCAGTACCATTAGGCAAGGTTAAGATTGGTGCAGTCACTAACCTGGTTTTCAATTCTTGGAAAGCTACCTCTCATTGTTCACTCCAGTCAAATGGCACAGTTTTCTGAGTTAATTGAGTCAATGGCAAGGCAAACCTCCGGTAGTAACCTGCAAGTCCCAGAAAACTTCGGACTTCTGTCACATTTGTTGGTCTAGGCCAATCCATAACGGCTTCAATTTTCTGAGGGTCAACAGAAACTCCATCCTTGTTGATTACATGTCCCAAAAATGCCACATTGTCAAGCCAGAATTCACACTTGGACAATTTAGCATACAATTTCTTTTCTCTCAAAATCTACAAGGTGGTTCTCAGATGGTTGTTTTCTCTATCTCCTCAGCTCTAACCTTTAATTGATGATACCCAGACCTGAGGTCAATTTTGGAAAACACTTGGGCACCCTGAAGTTGATCAAACAAGTCATCTATTCGGGGCAGAGGGTATTTATTCTTGATAGACACTTTGTTCAGTTCTCGGTAGTCTATACACAATCTCAAAGATCCATCCTTCTTTTTGACAAACAAAACTGGAGCACCCCAAGGTGAAGTACTCGGACGGATAAATTTCTTATCTAACAGTTCCTGAAGTTGGGTTTTCAATTCTTTCAATTCAGAGGTAGACATTCTATAGGGAGTCTTGGAAATGGGTTGTGTTCCCGGAAACACCTCAACAGTGAATTCAATTTCTCTATCAACTAAGTCCCCAGGTAAGTCAGTTTGGAACACATCGGGAAATTCACAAGCAACAGGGATTGTTTCTACAGTAGTACTGTCAGATGGCACAGTCAATATACAACACAGATAACCCTTACATCCCTTCCTAATGAGTTTTACAGCTTTCACAGCCGAAATCAAATATGGGGGAGGAACTACCCCATTTCCAATAAAAGTAAATTCAGGCATACCCGGTGGTCTAAACATAACAGTTTTATTTGCGTAGTCAATGGTAGCACAGTATTTCATCAACCAATCCATCCCCAAAATACAATCAAAATGATTAATGTCCAAGGGTAATAAGTCCACATACAACATCATATTGCCAATCATAACATCACATGCTGGATAAATATGAGCACACATCATACCAGATGGCGTAGACACAGATAATACATAGGTCATAAGTTCTAAGGGTCTAGTCAATTTTCGAGAAAAAGCATGCGATACATAGGAATGTGTAGAACCAGAATCTATCAGTACACATGCATTTTGAGAACATATAGAGAGTGTACCTGACACCACAGTATAGGTGTTCGGTACGTCACCGGGCACTAAGGCAAACACTCGGCCTTGTCTTAAAGGTTCTTTCCCAGTATTAGCTTTAGCATTGGTTTTGGCCACAGAAGCGGATCCCGCTGAACTTGCTGCAAGACAGCTAGTAATCTCAGACCTGAGCGGGCAATCTTTCACTACATGACCTGGCTGACCACACCGGAAACAAGCACCAGACACCCGGTAGCACACACCTCTGTGCCTCTTACCACAATCAGAATAAACCGGAATAGACCCACTACTCTGACTCGAACTGTTCGAAGTCCCTGTGTTTTGCTTCTTACTAACAAAGGACCGGCCTTTTTTAAAACCAAACCCTTATCTTTTTTCTCTCCACTCAGTTGTTGTAGTTGCTGGGGCTTTACCTTGTTTCATGGCGGCTAGGGTGGCCTCTGCCATTAAGGATCTGTCTAACACTTCCACATAAGTAGGCAATTTCAGTACGCCTACTTGATCAAATACCTCTAAATCCAATCCACTTTCAAACTTTCATGCTTTCTTGTAATCAGTATCTACCATATGTGGAGTAAACGGTGCCAGTTCGGTGAATTTAGCTTCGTATTCTG